TTCCTCGATATACAAAAAGCCTACGACACCGTATGGCGCAATGGATTGTGGAAAAAGATGTGGGACATCGGCATCCGGGGGAAAATGTGGAGGATGTTGAAAAAGACGACAGAATGCACAAGAAGTGCGGTGATGTTGGATGGGGAAATTTCGAAGTACGTGGATATACTCCAAGGAGTCGCACAGGGCTGTACGATGTCACCCACTCTTTTTAAGATTTACATCAACGATTTGATAAGGGCGGTTGAAGCAGTAAGACAGGGAGTCCAAGTAGAGGGAAAGAGTGTGTCCGGACTGATGTTTGCAGATGATTTCGTGGGGGTATCCGAAACACCAGAAGGGTTGCAAGAACAAATAGATGCGGCGGTAGGATACACCCGAAAATGGAGACTGTCGGCGAACGTAGGAAAATGCGCAGTAGTGGTCTGTAACGAAGATAAGAAAAATCCCGTAGAATTCAAATGGAAATGGGGGGAGGAAGAACTACCGGTAGTAGACAAGTATACGTACCTGGGAGTAGAGATTTCGAAGGAGTGCTCATGGGACGCACTCATTCGAAGTTGATTGGGAAGAGTAAAGCTCAGATAGGCAAGATGGACGAGATCCTTACGGACCCACACCTAGACACTAGGATTAAGAGGTGTATTCTCTTGAATGTGATTGTACCTAAGCTAGAGTATGCAGGAGAGATGTGGGAAGGTAACGAAAAGGCCGTCAAGCAGCTGGAAACGGTGCAGATGGCAGCGGCCAAGAAAATACTAGGATGTTCAAGTACAACGAGCAACACTGTATTGAGAGCAGAATTGGGAATGTACTCTCTTAAAACAAGGAGAGACATGCAGAAGTTGAATTGGCAGTACAAGGTAAGTAGAATGTCGGACGATAGACTACCAGCCATGGTTGACGAGGCAGCTTGGGGAAAAGCGACTCCAGGGAAGAAGGGAATCAGATGGGACAAGGTGGTAGAGAAGGTTTGGAAGGAGATAGGAGACGAAGAGGAGACGTTGGACACGGAAGGGTTCGGGGGGTTCAAGACGAAAGTCAAGGAGATGCTAGAGAGTAGGGAGGAGGCAACCCTTCGGAAGAAGGTACGAAGCGAAGACCACTTGGAGATATACGGGAAGTTGAAAGAAGGGATAGGGATGAAGAAGTACTTGGACGGCCCCATGGACTATGCGAAAAAGCTGAAATTGCAATTTCGAGTAGGCGATCTGGACTTGCCAGAACGGAGGAAGAGGTATACCAGCCGTAGGAGAGAGGAAGAGGAGGATAGACACACATGTCCATGT